GTACTGTTGTGAATACTCTCCATGTACTGCCTCAACTAATCTTTATACCAGTGCTATGAGGTATGGCCCACTGTTGCACTCGCTTCATGGAGGAAGCTAAGAAACATGCCTATTAACCAGCTTTCCTGAAGGCATCCAGTGAACCTTGGTGTGAGCAGCAGTGCATCAGCATAAACAGGGTGCATCTGGTTTTTTCCACAGTATTAGAATTCACTGAATAACAAATTCACAATCTACATCAATTTCATCAGGTTTAACTGAATACTCCAGACCAACTGTTTTACTCCATTCCAATCTTAAGTATTAATATTACAACATTCCAGCCATATATTACACTTAATACAGTAATATGAAATTGCAGAAGGCTAGGAAAGGTTTTTAAGTAGCTCTGGGGTTTAAAGAGGCCTTCAGACAGCAAAGGCAGGGGGCTGGTACACATATAGATAAGGAAGCTAGATAAGCAATTCGCAGATCAGAAACTATAGAATAAAAGAGGCAGAGGCACACAGCTGTCAAGTAAAAGGAGAAGTTAGGGCTTAGTTCAAGTACGGATGCATCCCCCATCTCTCTCACTGTCCCCACCACCTCCTGTCTCCCTGGGGTTCCGTTCTTCCTTGTTTTCAGGGTTTGCACACAGGGGGCTGTGGCAGTGCTCACTCATTAGCAGCACTAAGACTGTCCTCATCATTCTCCAGCATCCCAACTCCCCTTCTCCTGATCCATTAGCATCTCTATATTCACATCCTAGTGTTTGTGTGTTTCTAGTCTGACACGGATGAATCATTCCATCATTCAGGAGACAAAGGAAAGCCAACTCTTCCCCTTTCCCTTTTCCTTCTAACATCCAGAAGAGATCATGACTCCTCCCCCATGCTCCTTCACATCTCCTTAAGGGTGACCTGCAGCAATTAGTCTCTTCTACCACTTCTGTAGTTTTTTCAGGAGCCACCCTCTAGGCCACAATGACAGGAGCCATGGCCAGGTGGACAGCAAGTCACTCCTCCCTACCTGACACTGCTCACACCTCTCTGAGGAACAGCCAGAAAGTCACATATAACAGAACAACCTGGTGTGGTGGTGCATGCCTAGAAACTCAGCATTCAGAAGGCTGGGACAGCAGGATCCCTGTGAGTTCAAGGCCAGCCTGGACTACAAAGAGAGTCCAAGCTATCCTGAATAGCAGAGTGAAACCGTGCCTCAAAAACAAAACAAAACTGACAATATACAGGATCAGAGCCTCTACCCAAGGTCCCCCAAATCCTCAATTCCAATGGGCCATGATCAATACAACCGGCCCACCTAGAGACTCCTCAAAGGCAGTGGCAGTGAAACATAAGAGATGTTCATTTCTCCCAAAGTCCCAAAAAACTTGCACCACGTAGTTGCAGACATTCTAGATACCCAGTAGAAGCTTTGGGAGATAGCCACTTTAGCCACAGCATTCTTGGAACATAGATGACTCTGCCCTGCAGCCTCCAAACGACTTCACTCTGTAACCTCCAGATCCCCCTTCTCCCATGCACGGGAGTCAGAAGGCTTTCAGTGAGCCAGGTAAAGAAGGCAGAAAATCTTCCTAAGTGGGAACAGCACAGCAAATGCACAGGGGACAAAATGCCACATTCTTCCCTGCTTCTCAGGAAAGACTACATTTCCCGGGAGGCTTAGCCATTCCTCGGGGACTACAACTCCCAGAAGGCTCTGCACCGCCACAAAAAACTACATTTCCCAGAAAGCTCCGCGCCGGCACAGAGACATTGGGGACAGTGGACGACCAACGCGGATCCGATTGGCTACCTTGACTTAATTGACTCGGTGTAGTACCCTGGCGAGCCGGCCCTGCCCACCGGTCCCTGGTGTCTTGATTGCTGGTGCCTGGCAGAGCCCGGGCTGCCAGGGAGATTGGCTGGCCAGTGAGCTGTGGAAGGAGTACGCACTGGACCACTGCACACTGGGGACATCGGAAAAGAGAAGAGGCCGAGAATTAAGACGCAGGCTTGTGAAGATCTTGAAGAGGCGCAAATTTCAGGAGCCAACAAAGCCACCTCAGGGCGGGAGAAAAACCGGGCGAGGCGGTCCCAGGGGACTGCGCAGTGGAAACCCACGCCTGGGCCCCTGAGAGCGTCTCAGTGAGCTAGCAGCAGGGGGGAGCAGACTGCTGGAGGCGCCTCGTTGGCGAAGCTGCTGTCCTTTCAGCCCACTGTCCCTAGGTCCTCGTGAGCAGGAATCAGCTCTAAGCTAAAGAGGGTTAGGGTTAGGGTTAGGGTTAGCACAGCGCAGACCCATTTCTCATTGTATGAGTAAGGAGTGAAACACATAAGTGATTTAACAGGCAGTGTGCGTGTGTGTAGTGTGTGCGCGTGTGCCTTGTTGACAGGATTTTACTGGGTGGCCCAGGCTGTCTTGAATTCCTGGACTCAAGTGATCCTTTTGCCTGAGCTTTCAGAGGAGCTGGAACAATAGGCATTCTTCCAGGTAGCAGGGAAATTTTAATATATAAAAAATCACTTACTAGGAAAAAGGGGTGTAGAAAAGCTGGCATGTACAGGCATAGTGCCTGCAGAAAACAGTTATAAGAAAAAACTGAACTGCAAAAGAAATTAGGAGAGGGAAGTGCTGTCCCCAAGAACACTGGCACAGAGAAGAGGCCTTGACCTGGCTGTAAGGTTGGGTGGGGCCTGGGTATGCACTGGGGTCTGTGCCTTTGTTCCTGCCCCGCCATTACCCTCTCTGTCCTCTCGTCCTGCTGTTGTTTTGGCACAATAAGGAATGGCAGGCAGGTCTTCTATAAGTCTTCACTTCTGGGAGGCTCCCAGGCAGGGTCTTCTCTGAGTGTTACAAAGAAAAACTTGGGGGAAAATTTTTTTTGTTTTTGTTTTATGAGCTAAGTAAAAGGTGTATTCTGAAGGCATTTTCTCTGATGCTACCAAGTATTGTAGGTCCTTTCACTGGCAAGTCTCTGACCCAGATCCTCCAAGGCCACATCTGGAAGTAAAGTTGGGGAAAAGGAGGTTCAGGATCGAGTAAGTGTTTCCGTCTGTCTTCTGACTGTCCCTGCTTTGTGGAACAGACAAGATCTCCACTCATCCTGGCACCATGTGGAGGGGCAAGACTCTTCTCTGAGAGAAATGCTCTAAGACTCTGAGGACCCACTGCGCCTCTGGAGGGATCTTACAGGATCCTCACCAAAAGCCTTTCTTTTCCTTAGGGTCCAGAGGAGAGGGTCTACAGAGCAGTTGAGGTAGCTTGCCTGAAGGGTCTGTGCTTGAGGGTTGCAGAAGGGCCAAGAGGGTGTCTGACTTGAGTGACAAGACTAGGCAGGCAACTCTGTTTACTAAGAAATGTCAGAGTTTGTTTCTGGGAGTATTGGACTGTGGCTGGGAGACTCTACACAAGCTAAACTTGAGTCCTGTCTTTGTCCTTGATGCTTGTGGTAGTGCCAGGTGTCACTGTGAGGGAGACATGGAACATTAGATGCCAGTTGTGACACCTGAGAAAGTGCCTTCAGTCTGGGGGCTTTCGGGAGCAGGTGGCTGTTCAGGCTCTCAGGTCATCTCTAGGAGCAGGCAGCTCCTGAGGCCCTGGCAGCACATAGAGCAACTTCATTCCCTCTGGGTCTTGTCTTGGGTGGAAAGTGTTGCTAGGTTCAGGAACACTGACTGGCCTCTCACCCCAGCTCATACTTCCTGTGACATGTGGCATTGTTAATGGAGGCCCATTAACAATGATAATAAGCCCTGTTCACCTGAGTTCTGGAAAGTATCAAAAATCACTGTTCCTCCTGTAAAAGGCAAACCTGATTTGGAGAAAGCCCTGTGCCCAATGAGGGAGGAGCAGGTGCAGTGTCTTTCCTGTTCAGCTAATGTGTTTGCTTCAATGGGACCTTCCAGCACCCTTGGGCCCTCCTGCTTATTCTCCATCCCAGGGCTCCCGTTTTTCCCCAGGTTCTCTTCTGTAGCTCTGTCAGATCCTGCTGTTTTCAGGGTCTGCTTCCCCACTCTTACCTCACACCCCTGGAGAATGTGGCCGTGGCTTCAATCACCTATGCCTTCAGCTCACTGATGTCCCACATGTGTATCTTTGTCCCAGACCAACTACCTCAGCTCTGTTGCATATTCTCCTGCCGCTAGCATCTCCACGTCCACAGAGAAGTGGGAGGACAAAGTAAGGTTGCTAGGCAGGACTCTCCTTAGGCCTGGATCCTTGGTTTGTCTATACGTCTCCTCCTTTGGATGACTTTACTCCATATCTGCTGGCAATAAATCCACTACAAGCAAACCATCTCTCTGGACTGAGTCCTTCCAGTGCATCCCTGAGCCCCAGCCTGCATTCTGAAAGCAGACCGCACCTCTCAACCTGGTCTGTGATCTTTGTCCTGTGCTTTTGCCACCTGGACCTCCTGCCTGTCCCTGCTGTACATATGTTTTCCCTAATGCCTGGTCTTCAGCCTTACATTCCTCTGCTATTGATGTCCTGAGTCTTCTCATCATCAAGTCTATTTACTGCTTACTTCCTCTGCAAGAACTTTACTGAACATCCGACCTGGACAAACCCTCACTTCCCAGGTCCTTTCTTACATATACTGGAATATTCTCTCCCCAGCACTATTACTACCTGAATTATCTTGTTATTTGATTTCTTGTTTCTCTCTTTTTCCCCCTAGAGCAGATAGATGCTCCTTAGGGTCAGGAAGTGCCTGTGTTGCTTCTTTTTTCATCCCTAGTGATGGCACAGCCTCAGGAGAAGTGTCAGGAATGAGAGAGGGGCAGGGATCTCCCTGCTTCCAGCTTCTCCTCCCCAGGACCACCCATGTAACCAGCAGCTCTTCTCCTCATGGGAATCTTCACAGCTCACCAGTGGCAGAATGACATCCTGCCTAGTTTAGTTTCTATTGGCATGTAACCAGGAGAATTTTAAGTTTATTCTCCCCTAGTCCTTGAAGATTGGAATATTTTGGTCTATAAAATTGATAGGGTTTTTGGTGCCAGGAAAGAGAAAAAATATAAAGAAACAGTAGCCTTTATTCCAAGGATATGGAGAATAGTCAAATGACCAAAAATGCCCAGGCCTCTTCTGACTGGGACAGGTGGTATGGGATATATATATAACCTCTGACTGGATGTTTCTCTTAGGGTGGGCACTGGTGACAGTCGAACAACTGATTGGGACTTTCTTCATACCACTGGTAAAGGAAAAAAGAAGTTGCCATAGGGGAAGGAAGAAGTGACCTCAAGGTAAACAGTACTTGGTTCCCCCTCCCACTGCTGTAATATCGTATCTGGGGCAAAACCCTTTTATTCCCATCTTTTTATTGTTAGGAAAAGAGTGAAGTCTCTCTCTTACTGATTCCTGCTGAAAGGTTGACGGGATGATGGTTGATGCCCATGCAGAAGCTGGTGCTAGGTGTTTCAGCCAGGACAACTTCATCATTGGGGAATGCCTGCACATTAGACTGAAAAAACAGAGAGACAAGGTTTTATGAGGAGGAAGGCCACTATCATATTGAAGGACCCAGGTGAGGTAGAAGGACATGTGTCTTTGATTTAAATAGGCCATTCCATCAGGATCATGGTGAGGTAGAATCATTACCACGCTGAGGTAGAATTCTGAAAAATAAGTGTGGGGTTAGGAGGAGTGAAGTTATGAGATGTGATTATTTTTTATCCTAAAGGGTAAAAGTTAAAAGTGTAGGTAGGTCGGACTTGTCTCTGGTCCAGGAGTTGAGCTGGAAAGAATAAGAGGGGTGGAAAGGGTAGCAGCTGTGTCACTATAAGGGAGGTAAGAGCCTAGACCTTCAGGGATCTCATGTTTGACTAAACAGCTGAGTGTCGAGAGAACTGGCAGAACTGTCATGTAGAACAACATGATGATCTTACGCATGATGTGGGAATCTTAGAAAAGACTGTCAGGAGTCCTGCTGTAAAATAGATAACTAATAGAATGTAAGGCATTAGGAACCAAATTGGATAGCAAAACATAACTTAGCCTAAGATTTGTGGCTGTGAGGCCTTAATGAGATAGAGACAGGTGGTCAATAGAAGATGAGATGTCCACTCAGAATGGTTGGGTTGGGAGGGCACCGCTTAGCTTGAGTGATATGAAACCAGGATGGCAGGCCAGCAACTTTGACTGCTGTTGGGTGCCAAAAAAACTAGGTAGGGGCTGCTCCACCTTGGTGGTAGTCCTGTGGATTTAGAACATTTGAGATAAATTAGGTCTTCTGGGGATATGGGAGGCTCTGGTTTGGTCCTTCAGAGGGTTGGGGAAGGCAGAGATCAGCATGTTGTCATAACAAGTATTAGAGGAAGGGGAAGATTGGGATGCAGTCAGCAAGAGGAGGGAGACTTTGGGGAGTAGGAAGATTGTGGAGTAAGAATGGCCTGCCATACATAAGATCAAAAGGACTTAAAAATGGAGGAGCTGAGGGAAGTGCCCTGAGCTTGGCTAAGGCTAGGGGCAGCAGTTAAGGCAAAGGTTGGTGTAGTTATAAAATGAGTTTTGTAAGGTGTGTTTATATGAGGCCATTTGCCTTTTCTACTTTTCCTGAGGATTATGGATGGCATGGGATGTGTAGGCGCCAGGTGATGTGTAAGCTTGAGGATACCTGTTGAGTGATCTGAAAAATAAAGACTGGACTATTATTTGACAGAATACTCTATGGTAGACCAAACCTTGGGATGATTTCCTGTAACAGGACTTTAGTAACTACATCAGCAGTTTCCCTGGTGTGGGAAAGGCTTCTATCCATCCTGAAAAAGTACAAACAAAGGTGAGAAGATATTTGAGAGTTTTGTAGCAGGGCATGTGTGTAAAATCTATCTGCTAATCCTAAGCAGGGACGTGTCCACGAATTGATGAGTAGGAAAGGAAGGGGGTGCTATATGTTCCTGAGGAGAGGTCCTAGCACAGAGATGACAGGGGTGAGTAATCTGAGGAATGATAGCCTTTAGAGAAGGATGTGTAACTACTGGGGCTAAGAGTCTGTATGGAGCCTGTGATCCTATATGGAAACAGTTATGTAAGTCAGTGATGATGTCTAAGGCCTGCCAATCTGAGAGAACAAGTTTTGATCCCTGAAAAATCTATCTCTGAGTGTTTTGTGTGTAACCTGGTTTATGAAGTAGCTGTAGCTGCTCTGGTGAATAATTAGATGGAAGTAGACTGTTTGGGACCAACGGGAGATGAGAAGGGTAGAGCCTTTGTGCAGCTAACTTGGCTTGTGAATCTGCAAAGGCATTGCCTTGAGCAATGGGGTCTGCAGAATTCTGGTGAATAACTGTTGCCTGCTTTGGGAGTAGTGCTGCCTCTAGGAGTTTAAGGATAAGAGGTGCATTAATGATGGGGGTTCCCTGAGAGTTGATAAAATCCCTTTCTTGCCAGATAGAGGCAAGAGAGTGTAAAATGCTAAATGTGTACTTTGAATCAGTGTATATATTTATGACTTTGTCCTTTACTAGTGTAAGAGCCCTTGTAAGTTTTGCCCTCTGGGAAGTTGTCCCAGGTGGCAGTGGTTTAGCCTCTATAACTTTTAACTGGTTAACTATTGTATATCCTGCTTTCTTTCAGCTGTCTGTGTTTGTTGAACTGCCATCTATGAACCATGTGTCAAAGACTAAAGAGAGAGGTGTGCTACTAATGTGAGGGAAAGGGGTGGAGTCTTCTGTAAGACCTCAATACAGTCATGGTGAGGGTGGCCCTCTGAGGTGGGAAGTAAAGTTGCCACATTAAGAGGACCACTAGTTGCAATAGAGATACAAGGGTCCTGAGAGAGGGCTAGATGTACCTGTTGGAGGTGAGAAGGGGTTATTAGGGCAGGGAGCACCTTATGTGAGGTAAGTGTACTGTAATAGACTGCCCTAATGGAAACTTTTAGCTTCCTGCATCAGTAGGTCTGCAGCCACAAGGGCTCAGAGACAAGGTCCCCATCCTTCTACTGTGTTGTCTAACTGCTTTGACATGTAGGTTACCATTCAAAAAGAAGGTCCCTTCTTGTGTCCCTGTACACCTACAGCATTGTGGCCCTGAGAGATAGTATATAGAGTGAAAGGTTGGGTGGGGTCAGGAAGGGTAAGGGCTGGAGCCCTTAGGAGAGCCTCTTTCAATTTATGAAAGGAGGCATCTATGGGCATAGTAGGGTCTAGGGGTTCTGATAAGGGGCCCATAGAAGCTTTGTGAAGGGGTTGAGCTAGAGCTACAAAGTTAGGAACCCAGAGATGAAAGGAATTAGCTAAACCTAGGAAAGATGTAACCTGTTGTTTTAGGTGTGGGCACCTGGAGATCTCAAAGCATTGCCTTATGATCTGTAGTGATGGAATGAGTGGTGGGGGTGAGAGAGAGACCTAGATATGTGACTTTTGGGGAAGTTATTTGGGCTTTAATAGGAGATACCCTGTACCCATGACTGGCAAGAAAATTAAAGAGACCAGCTGAATGTTGTATGGTTAATGTATGGGATGGAGAACATAAGAGATGGTCATCTATGTATTGAAGGAGAGTGCTAGGTTTGAGATCAAGTTCTGCAAGGTCAACAGCAAGAGCTTGGCTAAAGAAATAAGGACTATCCCTTTGAACTCTTGGGGAAGTATTGTCTAAGTAAGTTGTTGAGATCTGAGAGTGTCTGGATGACTCCATGTAAATACAAAGAGATCCTGACAATCAGGGTGTAGGGGGAATGGTAAAAAGGGCATCTTTAAGATCAATAACTGTAAAATGAGTGGTGGAGGGAGGGATATGAAAGAGCATAGTATAAGGGTTTGGCACCACTGGGGGGATTGGGGTAACAGCACCATTGATTACTCTAAGGTCTTGCACTAGACAATAAGACCCATCAGGCTTGAGTACCAGGAGAATGGGAGTATTATAGGGTGAATGTGTAGGTTTAAGAAAACCATTGTCTAAAAGGCACTTAATTATAGGTTTAAGTTCCTTTAAGTGTTTAGGAGCTATGAGATATTGGAGAATGCAAGGAAAAATTGAAGGATCTCTGACATGAATTAAAATAGACATGACATGGCTAGCAGAGGTGGGATTGGAAGTATCCCAAACTATAGGATCGACCACAGAAGAAGGAAGTGGAGGGGATGACTTTGCAGTGCATTGTAAGAGTGTTTGGGGGACTAGAGCTGTGGGGAGGGAGAAGTTAAAGGAGAGGTTAAGCTTTTGAAGGAGATCCCTACCTAAAAGGGGTGTGGGACACGTTGGAATTACTAGGAAGCTGTGGGTAAAGAAGAGAGTCTGGAAACTGCATGGAATAGGCCCTGTCTGCAAAGGCTGCATAGCCAGCCGTCAATACCCACTACAGAGATTGAGGGCTTAATACAAGGGCCTGAAAACTCAGAAAGTACACTATAAGTTGCCCCCGTGTCTACAAGTACAGATAGTGTCTTACCTGAAACCTCCAGTGAGACTCAGAACTCCGAAAAGGATACCTTAATGGGGGCTGTGGGCCCCGAGCCCCATCAGTCTTCAGCAGCAAGTCTGAGTAGATCAGTCAGCAATGAATCTGGCGGTGATGGAATCTCCTGTGAGAGCAAGGAGTTAGAGGATGGCTTACCTGCTCTATGGCAGTTAGGACAGTCACTCTTCCAGTGGCCCTTGAGATTGCAATAGGGGCAAGACCCCAAAGGAACACCAGGATTGGGGCACTGTCTTGCCCAATATCCTTCTTGATTGCACTTGAAGCATGGTCCAGGAGGGGCTTGAGCAGCTCCACCTTGTTTTGGCTTTCCTGTCTTGGGAGCCCCAGCGCACTGCTAAGAGATCAGATTGATATTTAGCAAATTTCTTTTTTTGTGCCTCTTTCTCCTCTTTTTGAGTTTTTTCTTGTTGCTGAAAACACAGAAAGTGGGGGCTGGGGATTTAGCTCAGCGGCATAAGTACCTGCCTTGCAAGCAGGCAGTCATGAGTTCAATCCCTGGTACCGATAAAAATGAAAAAGACAAAAAAAAAAAAAAGAAAAGAAAACACAGAAAGCTATATTAAGAAGGTCTCCGTGTGGGGTTGAGGGCCGTGTTCAGCCTTTTGTAAGTTTGCACAAATATCAGTAGCAGACTGAGAAATAAAGTAAGAGTTAACAACAATCATCCCTTCATGAGAGTCTGGGTTTACATTAGTAAACATAATTAAAGTATTCCTAAACTGATTCAGGAACACAGCCAGATTTTCACTAGCCTCCTGGACCCGTTCTAAAAGTCTGTTATAGTTAGTATGTTTGTGAGCAATTTTATTAAGGCCCACAATTAGACATTCAATCATCTTATGTATTTTATAAGAACTTTTTCCATTTTGGTAATTCCAGTTAGGATCAAGTTCTGGCACTGCAGTAGGCCCAGGGTCATTTTCATTGGTATTTGTCTTATGTCTGTGACTGGCTTCTTCTCGAGCTGCTTGCCACAGCTGAGCTCGCTTTTGTGAGCTGAGTATGGAGTTCAGAATCACATAAATATTCTTGAAATGTAAATCATAACAATTAGTTATAAATTCAAATTCTGTGGGTCAACAGAGAAGCAACCTAATTTATGGCTAATCTGAGATAGATTAGAAAGGGAGAAAGGTATATGTATATTAATTAGTCCCTTTGGGCCAGCCTGTTCTCAAAGCAGGTGTAGAGATTGAGGCTGAGAAGGCTGTGGAGGAGATGGCCACCGAGCGGCCAACCATCTGGCAGGCATGTATAGGCCTGATTGGCTACAAAATGGCCACTCATCACCATGTGACAAGGAAATGCAGGCTGTGACCTGCATACACACAGTGGCCCACAGCAGCCTAGCTGCTGCCAGCAGCACAGTGAGTGAGCACAAGATGGCAGCTAATCATCATGTGACCTGCAGCAGGATGCCTGCTGTTGATCACTCGAGGAGCCACAAGGGGATGGCCATTGACCCTCAGACCCATTGCAAGATGGTGGCACCCTGTCATGTGGCAGAGGGCCACAAGATGGCGGCTGTCCTCCATGTGAGCTGCAGCAACATGGCTTCTGGCAAAGCTGGAACACCCGAGAGCCTGTATGGTGAGCTGGCAGAGAAACTGGTGACACAGGGGAAGGGGACCAAGAACCCTCTGATGGAACAGATGGCTCTGGTGGGGGGGATTGAGAAGTTGGAAACTGGGGAGAGACACTAAGGCAAGGATTAGAGGCCACTGTGGGTGAAGGAGGAGGAGAGGACAGTGCAGTGGGTATAGAAACCTTTGGCTGAGAAGGCTGTAGGGTTTGATCTTGGGGATACAGAGGAGGGGAAGTAAAGACAGAGCACATCATCTAAGGGGTCTTGAGGAAAGGAGGGGCGAGTTCTGGTACAGTAGAGTTAGCTAAAAAGATTTGAGCTGCCATACATGATTTAATGAGAGAAAAGTACATCCTTAGGGTAAAGAAGGCCTGTACATAAGGAATTTCTGCTAACTTGTCACTAGTGTAATAAAGTCATATAAATTTTTGAGAATACAGGGGTCAGACGTCCCCTCTTTAGGCCATGGGCTGCCATTAAGCTCATAGGTCAGCCTCCTGACAGTAAAAGATTGTTTAATTTTTATAGTTTTCTTTAGGCCAAGGATACCAAGGTTACAAACCAGGCACCCCAGAGGTGTGTTTTTTGGGGGACAGGAAACAGTATTCCCCATGGGACCGAATTAAAAGTGAGCCAAAAGGACAATTTTGACTCAAGCTGTGAGAGCTCTGGCTCTCCCGCAAAACGTGAAAATTGTCCCAGATCACACTTTACAAAAGAGATCATCACCTATTTTGGAAGCATGATTAAAACACTCCAACCCAGGGGCTGGGGATTTAGCTCAGCGGCATAAGCGCCTTCCTTGCAAGTGTGCGGTTGTGAGTTTGATCCCTGGTACCGATAAAAACGAAAAAGACAAAAAAAAATTTAAAAAAAAAAAAAACACTCCAACCCGAACCCATTGCCTGTCACCAAAAGGCACTGGGTTAGGATCCCAGAGGACCAGAGTAATGGCTCTGCCTTGGACCGTACAAGGAACGTGAGAACTGTTACCTTAGTCCAGGGACCGAATGGGTAATCCAGCAAGGACCCGGCCCACGGTAACAGAAAACCTTGGACAGAAATTGGCTCACCTAGGGGCCAGAGATTTAGCTCAGCGGCATAAGCACCTGCCTTGCAAGCAGGCGGTCGTGAGTTCGATCCCCGGTACCAATAAAAAGGAAAAAAGACAAAAAAAAAAAAAAAAAAAAGAAAGAAAGAAATTGGCTCACCTCACCTGTGATAAAAGAGATAGGCTGGTGTTTGCAGGCTGGTGGCGACAAGTTGAGAAGCTCCCAAGTGTTGAGAAATGAGGAATTAATCCCAAATATGGTCTGGTCCGTGAATTAGCAGAGGGACTCAAACTGCGAGCACCCCAGGAGTCACTCCCGCTGCCTTCCCAGCCAGGGAACCAAATGAAAGGGCTTTCAGTGTGAAGAAAGAGAATAAATATAAAGAAACAGTAGCCTTTATTCCAAGGATGTGGAGAAGAGTCCAATGACCAAAGACAGCTGGGCTTCTTCTGATCTGGACGTGGAGTATGGGATATACACATATAACCTCTGACTGGGGGTTGCACTTAGGGTGGACATTGGTGATGCTCGAGCAGCAGATTGGAACTTTCTTTGCACCACTGATGAAGGAGAAAAGAAGTTGTCATAGGGGAAGGAGAAAGTGACCTCAAGGTAAACATCCCTTGGTTCTGCCTCCCACGGCCATAATATTGTATCTAGGGCAAAATCCTTTCAAAAATAAACTTGCAAAAAAACAGGTTAATAGAGAAAAGACTATGCACATTTATTACATCCCTAAGCACAAGAGCCATACACAAGAGGTATGAGACACGCCAGGACAGCTGAACCAAACCAAGGGACAGGGGCTTGGGCTTTTGTAGGAAGGGCAGTGAAACTGGACGCAGAAGACCGAGGGGAGGCACAGAGGAGCGAGAGTTGTCCTGTTTTCCTGACAGTCTACCTGTGGTCATTTGTGTAAGCCACATCTTCCCCAGGCAGGCAGAAACAGAGCAGACATCAGTAAGGAATGCTTCTACCTGCATTCATCATTCACCAGTTCAGATGATATCAGTTTCTGTCACAGCCTTTCAAATCCTTCCCTGGAACTGCAGTTTGTCTAACTTTTTTTTTTTTTGTACCAGGGATCAAATTCATGACTGCCAGGCAGGCATTTATGCCACTGAGCTAAATCCCTAGCCCATGTCTAGCCATTTTGAAATATGCCCATGATACATGACATATTTTGGAGTCCCAATGTTAGATATTTTGGAGTCTCATACCCTAAAACTTAGAGTACTAAGCACTCATTTTAAGTTGCTATGGATCAGAAATTGAAGTATGACTTCACTGGCTCCTGCAGATCAGGGGCCTCCCTAGGCCTCTCTCAAGGTCTCTTGGCTAGGGTCTCAAACCCATCTGAAGTGGGACCCAGAGAGCTCTACCTCCACCAAGCTGGCCTGGAGTGTTAACAGACCTGGTCATGTGGACATTTTCTTGGGGCTGCCTTGGAGCAGGGTGCCCTCAGGGTGAAAGACAAGGTTGAATACTGAGCTGGGAGATGGAAATCAGGCTGTGCAGAAGTTAGAAGACTGATCCAAAGACAGTCAGATAGCCAGAGCCTTTTTTCCTCTGCCTGCAGAGACAGATGTGACCAGCAGAAGGCAGACTAGCCAAGCCAATGACCAGGCCCAAGATCTTGGCCAGAACTGGGAAGGATCTGTGGGTGCAGAATTTAAGCTCTGTGGGTACAAATGAGGAACTCCTCAGCAAAACAGATGTAGCTGTGAGCTAGATCACTATAGCTTGTGTCCCTCTCACTGTGATATCACCTGAGAGACCAGCCAGAGCAGTGAGAATAGTGAACCAGCCAAGCAGGGGACGCTTAGAGGGGGCTCAGGGAACACAGATGAGCACTGTCCCTGAGGCCTAGTCTCGGGTTCCTATGATGGGAAACAAGTCCTCCTACCCTATGCCAAGTAGGACCAGGCTCTTTTCTGGAGCCCCATGAAGAGCTGAATGTAGCTGCATGGAAGGAGACAGGTGGAGCCGGCATTTGGAGCCAGCAGATGCTTACAGATGTCTCCCCACCAGTGTTGGCCTCTTCCTGGGCTCCATTAGTCAGCCTGACAACTTCCCCACCAGACTGCCGTGGAGGAAATGTCCCACCTCCTGCCTCTCTGCTCACTCCTAAGGGCCCTGAGAAACAGCCGAAGACTTGGCTGCTGCCCCTGGGGTGGTGCCTGTACAAGATGCCTCTCCACATTGTCTTCCTAGAGGCACAGGCTCTTCTCTACAGTCACTAGGTCCCAGGACCTGGCTCACACACTGTCATCAAGGGCACAGCTGCTTCTTAAAACACCATTCCACCCTCTGAGATCCCTGTAGTACAATGCTGGGGTGCCTAAGTAGCAGCTCCAAACTGTGTACTGAAATTAAGAGAAAGGGACAAGAAGCTTCATTTTAACCGTGGCTGAGTTTCCAAACTACTGTTTGCTGGAATCCCAAATTCTTGTAAAGGGACTCATTTCAGGAAGGATCTGTCCATAGAAACTGGGTCTTGACATCTGCTCCAGAACCCTCACCCTCTCTAGGGGAATCCACATGGACTTTGTGGCCTGCTAATGTGGTACCCAGCCTTTTTTCCAAGACCCAGCTCTGAAAGGACAGCAGGCCTAGAGGAACATGGTGAACGTTCACGCTCATGCCCTTACACAAGTGTTCCAGCCCCCCCTACAGGGGTTGGTGGTGCCTCCCCCAAACTGTTGCACTTATGCCCATCCTCTCCCCCACCTTCGAAGAAAATAAATTCCAAATAGACAATCCAGGTGCCACTCCACATCTACCAGAATGCAACAATCTTTATAAAGAAAAGTAACGGGTGTTGACAAATATCGAGAAGTTAGAACCTTCCTGCATTGCTGGTGGAAATGTAAAGTGTGACAGAGAGGACCCCTCAAGAAGTTAAGCACAGCCAGACATGGTGGCACACATCTACAATCCTAGCTACTCAGGAGGCTGAGGTAGGAGGATTCCAAATTTAAGCCCAACCTGGGCAATTTAGAACTGTTTAAAAATAAAGAGTTGGGAACGTAAGTCAGTGGCAGAGTACTTGCCTACCATGCACAAGGTTCTGGATTCTATCCAAGCACCACACACACAAGCAAGGAATTACAGTACCAGGTGACCCAGCAGTATCACTCCTAGGCATATACTTAGAAAAACTGAAAATTAGTGTTTGATTCAGGCAAATGCACATCTGTGGAGTTCACAGCAGTGCCATTCCACCTGCCAGCATGGAAGCAGCTGAAATGCCCAGCAGCCAGCGGACGTTGAGCAAGGTGTGGTCCAGTCACAAAGGGAATGAGGCTCTGACACACACTTCCACATGAGTGAGACCAGGAAACATTGTGATCAGTGGGAGAAGCCAGACACAAAAGGGTGCATAATGCACAATTCCATTTAGAAAAATGCTCAGAAAAATAACTCCACAGGGACAGAAAATAGATTAGTGGTTACCAGCGCTCAAGAGAGGGGGATTACAGGGGGTGACTTAATAAGTTTCCACTCAGGATGATGAAAATGTGTTGGACTTAGGAACAACTGAGGTTGTACAACATTGTGAGCTAGATACCAGTGAATTGTACACTTTACCATGGCTAACTTTATATGAAATTCACCTAATAAAATTTAAAAATCAAAGAAACCCAAGTCAGTTCGATCAGCTCTGGCCTGAGTGACAAGCTGTCTCTGGAACACCAGTCCAGCCACCCTCATAGGAAGGCACACAGCTCTCCCTACCTCCAACTGTAGACCTTTTCCAGCATGTCCACAACCCTCTTCTCCCTCTCCTTTAACCAGGCCCCACTCTGCATTTTGGCAGCCCTTTCTTCTGACTCTTGCAAGGCATTGCCCCCAGAGATCACCCTGGTGACCCACTGTGGCTCCAGCCACCTAGCAGGGACTTCTGTGCGTGTCCTTCTGTCTCCCTGAAGCATGGTTCAGGTTCTTCAGCTCTCTGCCTGATGCTGAGGTTTTTCTTTCTTCCTAAGGCTCAGTTTCTTTTGGAGGCCCTCCTGTACCTTGGAGGTACCTCTAAAACAGACCCTGGACCTTTGAATATGATCAGTTTCTCCCCAGCTATGCCAAAACTTGGCTTTTTCTGTCCCTTGTTTCCCTTTCTTGGCTTTCTCTAGCCTCCAGTCAGACCTCTGGGAATAGCAGCTTGGAGGTTTCTCACTGCCCTCTGAGTGAAGAGTTCCACTACTTTTTTTGCTGATTCTTACCAATGTCAAGGGTGACCTGCAGCACGCACCCCATTTATAAACCTAGTGACCTCTTTATAAGCCTAGTGACCAGAGAGATTGAGTTGGGTGGATACAGAGGGGCCTGGCATGGTCCATCTAACATGGCCTACCCTGCCTGCTTGAAAGGGAAGGAGTGGCCTTTCTAAAGGTGAAATTTCTGAGGGATCTGCAAGGGAATGTACCCAGATGTCTTCACCGAGTGTGCGAGGTCTCAGGCTCTCCCACAAGGCCCAGGCTACAGTATAAGAGTCTGAACTCAGCTGGGTCTTGACCATCTCTGTGGCCTCTTGGTCAGTGCCTCCTCCACCTAAGCTCAGCTGGAATATCCTCATACTTCAGAAAATTTCTGTGTGCAGGGAGACGAGCTGCCTATATTCCCACATGCTTCAGTAGCCTGTTTCTCATGCTCAGTCCTTTTTTGCTGAGTGAAATGCAGAGAATATTCTCTAGGTCCACAAATTGTACCTTCTTCCACCTAGAATGGATCATAGGTCATGACTGAGGGAGAGACCATTGGGAAGATGCTGGAGATTTGGCAGACTTTCTCCTTCCCACACAGTCACAGACAAAACCCAGAGCCCCATTAGGCTGCCATATCCTTGTTAAAAGACTCTCAGGTCTGAGGACAGATGACCAGGCTTCAGTCCCCGGTGCCCAGATCAAATCTAGGGAGCAGTTACAGGCACTAGGGAGGCTGAGCCCAAGAAACACACCAGGAACTCACTTTTTTTTCCTGTCCCCAGTGAAATCTACAGTAGTTCCAAGGTTGCTGTTGCTTATGGGTTGTTTGTTTGTTTGTTACAATGCTGAGAAGTCTCCTTTCTACAGTTAGAATGCCAGTGCTATGTGACAGGTGAAGCAGCTCTGCAGTAAGCAAGAGGGCCTTGGTTTACTGTCTCTGCCTCAGTCCCTCAGGGCTTAAGGAGATAAGGCTTAGAGTTGACTGCTACAGTCCATTTTCTCTGTAAGTGTTTGGAGTTGACTCTTCCCCTCAAGGGTCCCACAGACAACTCCTCACCCCCAAAGAGCCCTTGGCCACAGTCCCTCCTCACTGGCTCTGGGAATCCTGAATCTCCCCATGGCCATGTTACATCCCTGTACAATCTGTTTGGGAGAAAGAAGAAGCAGGAAAGGGACCAGTGAGAAGGGAGATGAGAACAGGAGGGAAGGTAGGGGACAGGTGGAGCAGTGGGTGGAGGGTAGCCTTGGAAGAAGCAAGATCCACTGGCCTTCTCTCCAGGCCTCTCAGAGTCTCTGTTTCCCAGAAGGCAGTGACCATCAGCTGCATGGTTTGTACACAGAGCACCCGTTTGGGT